GAGTCTCAAGATTCAAAGGATCAGTTCAAGGAAAGACACTCTGCTTTGTAGGACCACCTGGTAATGTACAATGTACATTAATAGCTATGTACATGTACATTTATTCTATTAATGTACAGTCAAACCTCTGACACCTATGGGCCAGCCATCACTGTCCTTTATATGGAGGTGTCTCAATTGGAGGTTACCCCGTGCTGATCAGACCAGAAAATCCACCATTTTCCTATTGCATGATAATTGGAAAGTTCATTGTATGGGCCGTGTTTGTCTTTTGGAGGTTAATTTGTAGATGTGCGGGGGACAGTAAATGTACATGTACTTCATTATGCAGAATAGAGAGGTTCTTTTATACACTACCTAATGGCCTTATGATCAGGACAACAGGAACTGTACGTTATAGACAGATGCCCACTAATCAGGGGTTGGTTTTAGAGAGGTTTGACTGTATTGGGTAATGTTTCTAATGGTAAATCTAATACTGGAAATGTATTAATTTATAACTCTTTCTCTTACAATTCTTTTTATAAGGAATATACTGTACAGTATGTGTACATGTACTTTAAACAATGTTTGGAATCAGTCTACATGTTATAATGTTCATGTTGTTTGTCTTCTTTCTGTTCCTTTTCTCCCTTTCCCTCTCTTTCTCTCTCTCTCTCTCTCTGTAGGTGTTGGTGATACCAGTATAGCTTGTTCATTGCCCTGGCATTAATTAGAGAAGTAAGACTACACAATAAAGTAATACAACAATCACTGACTGACTCTCTCTCTTCATGTGTGTGTGTTAGTACTTTAGGTTCAGTGTAGGAGGTATGACCGATGTGGCTGAGATAAAGGGACACAGGAGGCCATATGTTGATCCAATGCCTGGTAAAGTGATACAGTTTAGAGGAAGTACAAACTGAGAATCTACTCATACTGATTGATGAACTGGACATGGTACCAGGTATGGGAATTTGGGAATGGAATGTTGTTCTACATAATTCCTGTACATAAACATGTACATGTATTTGTAGACTTGTAGTAGTTTTGGGATTATATGGATCAATTTTGATGCTTTTTTGTTTATTTTTGTACTCTGTCTCTCTCCTCTTTTCTGAGCAAAATGCTAGCTTTGTTTTCTATAACTGAGCACTTACTTTAGTAGTTTTAAATAGGTAAGTGCAGCCACATATACTGTGTAAACACATTCTCAAATATTGTACCGTATAGCAAAAAATTTTCATGGCCCAAAATTTTCGTGGATTTCGTGGTTTTTTTTCAAAACCCACAAAAATAAAATTGGCAAAAATTGATTTTATACAGTTTAAGATGGCTGAAATGTAGAAAACCACGAAAATTAAAGCCACGAAATTGATTTTTGGACGGATCCACGAAAATTTTTTGCTATACGGTATATAAACACTTACCTTATGTTTTTTTTCACTCCTCAAATTATAATAAAAAAGACGAAATGGAGGCAGGTAGAGTTGTCAGTATTGAGCCTGTTTGTTAAAATGTTTGAAACCCCACCTCCGACTCTCAAGGCCAGACTGCTTCCCTTCCCTTCTACCACTATGCTATTATCACTTACTCATAAACACACAAAATAAAAACCTTTATTCATGTAACACATATGCATACTACTGTGGAATACATACACAATTAATGTGAGAACTAGGTCTCATTCCTCCTCTCTCTCTCTCTCTCTTGTCCCACAGAGAGTCAATGGCTCAGATCATTGAGGCTGGTAAGATGATCCTACACATCTTGCTGATTTTGGAGCTGTACTGACCAGTGGAGAATCACATCAAATTCAAGCAGTTAGCAGTTCTTGAATGTCCAGATGTAATCACTTAAGTCCACTGTGGCGGAACTATGGACACAGTCTGGTGAAGAACTGGGTTAACCTTAAGCCTGCTATTATTTGCATCTACTAATTTTAGCGAAATCAGCAAAAGTCATGTTTAGCGTTACTAATTTTAGCGTTTTTAACCAAATTAACGATAAATAATAACCATTATAGTCAATAATAATTATTTTGGCATCTATTTAATTTAGCGGTTTTAAGCTCTCTCGCTAATATAGCTAAATTTAGTAGACGCTAAAAGTAGTAGGCTTAAGGTAAAAATACTTGATTTATTGAATTTGATTTTATAAAATTAAAAATTTTATTTTGTTAGCTAATATACATCATTATTGTTTTGGAATAAAAGTATGTCAAATTACAATAATGACAACAACAACAATAATAATAATAATAAATTAAGTAGAAGTACAAAATAAAGGTACATGAGTACATGCTAAAATAAAACAATTTATTAATTGAGGAAGAAAGGGAAGACTAATAAAAGAAAGCAAAGAGTAGCTCCAGTGATATGTGTTAATGGAGAATACTATTGCTACCCTGGCGTTTATTCGCATCCGGCTTTTATTTAAGAATATACGGTATAAAATTGTGTTTAAGTTGTCCTTTAAGTTTCTAATGGTATCTATTCATTTTGCTTCGTTCAAAAACAAATAAATCATAATGTATCTCTTGAACATATTTAACTACTGATGAATCAGAATTAACAGATTGAGCTATTTCAATATCGTGTGAATGAGGTTTTAAACTGAATACATCAATTAAAAATGAACAAGCTCTAAATTAGAGCTCATGCATATACTAGCAAAATAGAGCAGAGTTTTCTTGTCATGCATTTCAGCTAGTGCATTACAGCAAAGCTCTGTGAGAAATTGCAGAATTAAGTCAAACTTACCAGCTTCACATGCTGCATGAACTGAAGTGTATCCATTATTATCAGGATCATCAGGATTATACAATGACAACAATTAATGAGATACAGTGCCATCTCATTATGATTGAAGAGACATGCATAAAGAAGAGGAGTACGACCATTATCATCACAAGGGATGTAGTTGGAAGCTACATTATTTCAATCTTTATGTACTGAAATATTGTAGTATTGCCTCTTTCTGCCAATATGTGCATGCAAGTTATGCCACTTTTATCCTGTCCTTCAGGGTCTAGTCCACATTATTGACAATTAAAAGTTGTACTAATTCCATATTCCCACCCTCACATGCTGCATGAAGTATAGTGTGCTTTGTACTATCCAAAGTATTAAGTTCATCAGGATGAATACTACACAAGCAAAGAAACACATCAATATGGCCATTACTGCAAGCTAGATCCTTCATTATCAGTAACTGTAAGGAGATTATGATGAGTAGAACTACCAGTGACTGAGAATAGTAAAGCTTCAGTGGTATCCTTATGACCAGAGGCAACTGCTAAGTGTAATGGTGTCTGTCCTTTCTTGTTAGCAATATTGATATTAGTAAACCTGGATAGAAGTGATACCATCTTCTGCTGTCCTATCATACAAGCAAAGTGTAGTGGTGTGTCACCATCTTTATCTTGTTTGTTAAAACTATTTAAGTTTAGATTAGCTGCTAATAAACATTCTAATAGTTCAAACTGTTCAGCTGATACAGCAACATGTAGTGGTGTACGGTCTTGATTATCAGTTACATTAGGAT